GTGGAGCAGGAGTTTCTTCGTGACTCGGTCCTTAACCAAAAAATAGTTTGGGTGAAATTCTACAACAGCATTATTATCAGATGCTAGTCTTTGTACTGAAATTAGGTGCTTATTGATTTTAGGAGCATATAGGATATGTTTCAGAACAAGAGATGAACCAGAAATTAATGAATTCCCAATATGAGAGATAGACAAACCTGCGCCATTTGCAACCTGAATTTGGTCGGTGCCAGTGTAGCGTTCTCTGGTGGTAAGCCTCTCTAGGTCATTGGTGATATGATCTGTGGCTCCAGTGTCAACATACCAGTTTGTGTCACTAGTGTATCCACTAGTTGCCAAAGCTGCTTGTTTGAGATTATTTTCGGCTTGATATGCCTGATCAAATCTGTGCCAGCATTGCAAAGCATCGTGATTGGGCTTACCACAAATCTGACAGACAATGCCTGAGCTGCTTTGTGTCTTTGATGGTTGACGTCCAGGATTGTTCACAGTACGCCTTGATTGTCCATGACCACTATTTAACTGACGACTACGACCGCGACTACCTTGACCTCCATTGGCACCTCCACGAATGGATATCCTATTGACATTGTTAGCAGATGAAAGTTGCTCAAATGTACCCTTACGCAAGTGCCGCATCTCATAGCTCAGCATGTGAGCATACACGTCGCTGACAGTGTATACATCTGTTCTGGTTGTAATGCTTGTGACTAGAGGATCATAATCTGGACCAAGTCCTTGCAGCATGTAGGCGATGAGTTCTTCATCCTCTATTCGCTTGCCAATGGCAGCAAGTGTATCACCAAGATGTTTTACTTTACGAAAGTAGTCAGCAATTGTCATGTCCTTTTTCTGGATAGTAGAGAGTTCCATACGGATCTGCATTGCTCTTGCTCGAGATGTGGAAGCAAATTGTCGCTCCAGCGTAATCCAGGCTTCTCGTGCAGTGGTGATTCCAACCATCGTGCTGAGAACCTCCTCAGTGACTGATGAGTTGATGAGGCTGAGTACCAGCTGGTCCTGGGGGTACCAGACTGTGAACTCAGGGTTGATGATAATTTTGCGATTCCCTGTTTCTTCACTTGGTTCAACGGCGATCGTCTGGCTTGGTGCAGGCATGGATCCATCCACAAAACCAACAAGGTTTTGGCTACGCAAGTAGGGAAGGATTTGGGTAGACCACAGTAGATAATTTTCTTGTGTAAGCTTAACACTAATCACCTGACTGATCGACGGAGAAGACATTGTGTTTGTTGGGATTGACATGTTTAACAGCAGAGGCTATGGATCTCGTGGATCTTATTTCTGCTCTGATACCATATCAAGTTTATGCAAAACTGTGCCTCACACTATTGAGGACATATTCTATTTATATTGGCAAAAGATTAACTAATAGATCCGATTTCATAGGAAACTAACGAAGTAAGCCTATTCTTATGGCATGACTAACTTCAAGCTATTCTAATGGATTGACCAATTCTAACAATATATATATCCGTTATTTATATTTCGTATCATAATCATATCATGTCGTAAACACTTTGTGGTCATATCGTTCTCTAACTTATCATAGCCTTAACATTCTTATACTTATCACAGTCATATAGTTACATGAACACCTTAGTCATATCATCACAGGAACGTATCCTAACGCTATCGTTCTATCACTCTATCACAAACCTATCCCTTTCTACCCATAACCTAACCGTATTCTTTCATCAATCTCTCATATTCATATCACTTCAGTATGTAACCTAACTTTAACATTTCATGAACGTATCTTACTCCTATCGTTACATTTCGTTTTGTGTATCTTTATCGTATCCTATCTCAAACATATCATTGAACACATCGTGTATCGTAATTATTATGTAATAGTCCAAAAATAAATATATAAATAAACCAATAAAAATGGTTATAAACAAAAAAAAATTATTATTCCATAAAAAAAAAAATAATAATAAATTAATAAATAAATAAAAATAAAAACAATTCTTCCCAAATCCTCTCCTTTTAACTGTTGTCCATCCCCAATAATCTCATCCCATCCCATCTTCCCTCTTAAACAATATAACAGTTCATCCAAAAGTAAACAGAAAAAATGTAAGAGAAAAAGTAAAATAGCTTCCAACAAAAGCAGAATTACTTTGTAGAGAGAACCGTTCATCCAAAAGTAAATAGAAATAATGTAAGAGAAAAAGTAAAATAGCTTCCAACAGAAGAAGCAGAATTACTTTGGAGAGAGATTTTGGTACAATTTCATTTTCCTTTATATTTATAGTTATCTAATTAAATTAGTTAGATTTTCTTTTCTTTATCAAATATTTTATAATAAATCAGATCTCATCCTCTCACATCCAATTAATTAGATTTTTGGTTAGCAAAAGAAAGAAATAAAGAAAGAAAAAGGGAAATTTTGGAGTAAAAATCCATTAACAAAATTTACCAATAATATCTGTTTGAAAAAAAAGAGTGGAGCAGTTAATATCTGTTTAGAAAATGAAAATAATTACAGAGAAAATAAGATATATTCGTAATAATATAAAATAAGATATTTAGTGAAAATAACATTATACAAATATATATACAACATTTCAACACTTTTTACTATGAACCAAAATAAATTAGAGAAATAATTTTATAGAGTTCAAACTTGAAACTGATGTCATGAGCTCACATAGGTTGAGTTGGATTTCAAAGGACGGAATCGAACTTTCATTTAGGATATATTCGTGACAACGACTTAAGCTAACCAGGTAAGTGACCTTACTATCGGCATGGTTATATTGGATGTTGACACGTGCCCCATAGTTCTGCATGTGTCATATATATTGATATGTGTGAATTGTTTGTGGGTCGATATGTTATGTAAATTGTATGATAATAATTACGGTTCGATGTGTTCAATGATATGTTGAGATAGGATACGAGAAGAAAGCAAGACAAGATTAATTATCCTTTACCTTTCTAAATCATAAGGAGAAAGACGAAACCAAAAACTTGAGCTACCGAACCTTCACCTTTAGAGAATGAAAGAAGGGAGAGGAAATGAATTAACTGCTTTTCAAGACGATAGCAAGAGAAGATGAATGACACTAAACTACTGAACCTATCCTTTACAGTTCAATCTGGTCCGGTAATAGAGGAAAAGAAGAAGAAGAAGAAGATATTCTATTCCTTTACAGGAGAGTTAATTCATTCAATCCTTCACCTATTTATTCAAACACAGTAAGAGAATTGATTGAAGAACCTCTACTGGAGAGTAAAGAAAAGAAAAGAGAATTGAAAGATGAAAGCAAGACAAGAAAGATTCATTCTCTACACACTTCAGCCTTGTGCCCTTTGGGGAAGTCAGTCTTCCTCAAGCTTTGTTCCTAAGGCTTTCGATTCTGAATTCGGAATAATTCCTTTGCGTCATGCTATCTTGTATACCACGACCAGCGGCATTCCTAGCTCTGTGTAGGGCTGTTTGTCCAGTTGTTGAGCATTGATATTGGGGAGACTTCCTTACCCTTGGTTTGTGAAGTCTGAGCATTGTAATTCCTGGAATTACCTATACTTGTTTGAGGTGTTAGAGGCCTTTCTTAAGGAAATTTGAATTAGCTAGCTAACGCAAGGATGCACAACTGAAATGCAACGATAGGAATAAGATTCGTTCATGAAACGTTAAAGTTAGGTTAAATACCGAAGTACTATAGATATGAGAGATTGATAAAAGAATACGGTTAGATTATGGGTAGAAAGGGATAGACGTGATAGATTGATAGAACGATAGCGTTAGGATACGTTCCTGTGATAATATGACTAAAGTACATTCATGTAATGACATGACTGTGATAGGTAGAAGAACGTTAAGACTATGATAAGTTAGGGAACGACATGATCACAAAGTGTTTACATATGATATGATTAGGATATGACAGGTGAATAACGAATATATATATATATATATATATATATATATATATATATATATATATGATATGATATGAAATACGAAATATGTCATATGATATAAAAATGATATGTTATGGGGTGAGATATGTGATAAATTGACATGATATATTGTGATGCAATATGTTAGGGTATGAGTTTTATATTTCAAGTTATATTTTAATTTTTTATTTTTTAAGTAATCTTTTTACATATTTATTTATTTATTGATTATTATTATTATTATTCTTAGTATTTTGACTTATATTATTTATTTATTTTTATTCTTATTTTTTTGAGTTATTACACTTAATGCCTCGTAAATTATGTTTTATTATTTATTATTTGTAATTTATATTATTTCTTCCATGAATAATCTAAACTTATTAACATAATCCTAAAAAGTTTGTATGAGATTAAACAACGAAATATTTAATATTCTTTTATAAATTTGTGATAATTAACATTTAATTTTAATCTTGATGAAATATTTATTGTAATAATAACGAATCATTGGTTTAACTGAATAACTAAATAAAATAGATAAATCATTCTCTTCATCTTAGGTCGACGAATCTTCTCCATTGAAAGATTCCCCATATGGATAATAGACATTCCAGTTTAACTAGCCTAATTCTAATTGTTTTGTTCTAAAGCAAACGACGGGATGATTTGTCTTATTCAGATATTCACAACCAAGAAAAACTAGATTCTCTCTCGAGTAGGCCTTGAAAGGAGAAGGAAGGCTGGAACAGGCACCTATCATTGAAGTCATCCGACCCAATAATCAATCTAATAAACTTACCCCTAATACCAATTCAAAATTTAGATAATTAATTTAAATTTTTTTAACAAGTGTTATAGATATATACATGTCAATTACACCTCCTCAAGTAGGCTCATTTTGTCGTTCTTGTATTTATACATTTAAAATATAATAAACAAACAAATAATAAAGACAAACACGTATTTTTACTTTAATTTAATCTAATAGAGAGAGAGAGAGAAAAAAAAAAAAAAAGGAAGAAAAGAAAAAAGGAGGAAGATCGATGAAGCAAAAATGAAACAAAGTTCTTGAGTTGAAGAAGAAAGCATATGGTTTTTTGGGGTACAAACTTCTGAGATTGACTTCAATTAATGTTGTGAATGAATTGGAAGGAAGAGTTGTTGGGTTTGTTAAAATCACTGATCTGTCTCGCCTTTCTCTCTCACTTGCAGGCATTCGATCTTTCGCACTTCTGATCCGCCGACCTCTTCGATCCTCTTTGTGTTCGTTACTCTGCTTGCAGACCCTCGTAGACAAGGTACCTTTCTTTTCCTCTCCCATTTCCGATCCGCCAATTGAATTGATTGCTATGGATTGATGTGGGAACACTTGCTTCCGACTCCAACGATTACAATTCTGTGTATCAGTTTCTTCCTTGGGGCTAGATCTCTTTCTTTTCACGCCACCTCCGATTTCATACTCCAATTTGACTTTCCCCGAATCAGAATTTACTGTTGTTGTTGTTGTTGTTGTTTCCTTTTCTTTTTTCTTCCAAATCTCTGTTCCCCACTGCAACTATTTTGCAAATTCAATTTACTTGTACACAAGTTTTAGTTGCGTGTGGCCTTTTTGATTGTGCTTTCTCTCCATGTCTAGCTCCTTTGAACTTTGGTTTCGTAAATTATTATGTTTAGCTAAAAAAATCAGTCTGAACAATAACGAAAATGGAATCTGGGGGTTTTCTGGGTTGCATTTTCGTGTTCTTTATGTTTAAATGCGTTATGGCGCGGGTTAGCAGGTGTATGACCGTTTAGTATGATTTATGTTATGAGAGTCCTTATTTCCGTATCGGTTGGTAATTCATTGCTCTTTTTTTTGAAGAATCGTTTTGATTTTCCTTTTTCTTTCTGTTTGGCTGTTGGCTGCACAGGTCTGCGTCATGCTAGCATCCCATTAACTCAAAGAGTGTGAGAGTGCAATAGTAGAACCCATGGGGGCTGAAAATCATGCTCAGCAGCATTTTCCTACTAGGCCTGTTGGCACACCTTTTGCTACCACTCAGGCCGCGTCACCCTTTTCATCCTCTGGTCCTGTAGTTGGATCAGACGCCTCTCGTTTTAGACCTGCCTCTCCTGCTATGCCGACAAACACAATGCCTTTTCCTCCATCCTCTGGTCCTGCAGTTGGAGCAGGGAGCCCTGGGTTTAGACCTATGCAACCAAGTAGGTTCCTTGATCCATCTGTTCCACCACCATCAACATCCAGTGTCCCAGCAACTGCTGGGCCTTTCCAGCGTTTCCCTGCTCCACAGTTTGCTTCACCAACTCAACCACCTCCTTCCCGAATCCCACCAATGGGGCAACCCCCTGCTGCTTATGCATCGCCACCTCCAGTTTCTTTTCACCAGCAGACTCAGATTCCTTCAGTGCCTATGGGATCTCCTCCTCAAAACTTAGGCCCTCCTCCCACAAATGTTCCACAGCCTATGTCGGATCCATCTTTTCCATCAGCCAGGCCTAACTTTCACTCCTCTTTGCCTGGTTATGTCCATAAGCAGCCCAATGCAGATTTACAATCCCAACAAATGCAACCTCCTTTGGTTAGTCACCAAGGGCAGTATATTCCTCCTTCAGCACCAGCTTCCCCTTTCCTTGGTCACCAAGGAGGTTATGTTTCTCCTCCTCAAGCTGCAGCCTCACAGGGTTTGCTGTCCACAGACCAAAAGCACTATCCAGGCACTGGGCCGCCCCTTAGCTCCATTCAAGGATTAGCTGAAGATTTCAACTCACTTTCTATTGGATCTGTTCCTGGATCAATTGATGCAGGAATTGATCCAAAAACACTTCCAAGGCCATTGAATGGTGATGAAGAGCCTAAATTGTTTTCTGAGATGTACCCCATGAACTGTGATCAGAGATATTTACGGCTTACAACCAGTGCCATTCCCAGTTCCCAGTCACTGGTCTCAAGGTGGCATCTACCTCTCGGAGCAATTGTTTGTCCACTTGCAGAAGCTCCAAGTGGGGTTAGTGTTTCTATGCTAGAAATAACTAATATTTTGATTTCTGTGCATGCTAAAGTTACCTTATTAAATTTCTTTTATTTTGCTCTAGGAAGAAGTGCCAGTTATCAATTTTGCTTCAACTGGTGTCATCCGCTGCAGAAGGTGTCGCACTTATATAAATCCATATGCCACATTCACAGATGCAGGAAGAAAGTGGCGCTGCAACATTTGTTCTTTGCTGAATGATGGTACGAAGGCTTATAATTCTCATGGCTCCTGGACACTAGAATTAGTAAATTTGACCTATTGTTATATGCAGTTACAGTTTCTTATTTGGAAGCCTAGTGCATAGGAGATATATTTTTTAAGAGCCAGAGTCGCATCCTTTCTTTTGAATTTCAGCCATAGGCTGTGAGCTGTATTGATTATTCTTTTTATTTTCCCCTTCCTTTCTTGAACAAACAATTTAGAGTTACTGTAGAGCTTGAGTGTAACATTCACTTCATTTACTGCTTTGGTTTTCTTTGGAAGGCAGAATATTTACCTATTTGTATTATTTTTTTGGAAACTGCCATTTCTTTTTGTATACAGCTATTTCCCGTGTTGACTTATATTGAATTATGTTGATTCCGTATTCAGTTCAGGGTGACTATTTTTCCCATTTGGATGCTACTGGCCGGAGAATTGATTTGGATCAGCGACCTGAGCTTACTAAGGGTAGTGTGGATTTTGTTGCTCCAACCGAGTATATGGTTCGGCCACCTATGCCTCCACTGTACTTTTTCCTTATAGATGCTTCTATAGCTGCAGTTAGAAGTGGGATGTTAGAGGTAAGTATTTCTATACGATTATTACTATTACTATTAGTTTTATTTCCTTGATTATTACTATTACTATTACTTTTATTTTCCTCATCTCCCCTTATTGCAAGTATAAATTATCTTGCTTGCTTTTCATATTTAATTTTAAGGAGGTACATGTGCCTTTTCTAATAGAGAAAGTCTAACTAAATATCTTGATACTAGATAATGATAAATCTAACCAAATCACCATATAGTAACCGTAAATCTAACTAAATCCCTAGTATCAATAGGTAACAGTAAATTTAACTCTATTAAATCCCTAGATGCTTGTAAATCTAAATAAATCTAGGTAATAACACAGGAGGTCAAGATTACATAAATATTTCTTAAATCAAGGTCATTCCTTCAATACTCCTCAAGTCTATCTTCTCTTTTAATGATTTTTTTTTTTACAATCTAAAATAAATTATCATAATATGAAGTGAATGGTAGCTTTTAGGTTGACGTGGAAGGTTTCTTTGGTGTAAACTAAGTTTCTGAATATATTGAATGACAATCTGTCCATTGCCATCCTAACAGTGGTATTTATACTCTGGTTATAACCAAGAAATCTAAACTAATATCTAGGGGTTTAGTTAGATTTATTTTTCTGTATTGTTACCTAATATCTATGCATTTAGCCAGTCTTTTTGTATTATAAAAGGCATATGTACCTCTGAAAATTAATAAGAGATGTGAGTAAGATAATTTCCACTTGCAACAATAACTAACAAGCAACTAATGGTTAACCAAAATTAATGCCCTCAAGGTGCACTCCAATTTTTTTTTGAGAAGAACTAATTTCATTGATGAATGAAATAAAAGGAGCTCATGAAAACTTCAAAATATTAAGTGCATGGCCATTGATTTGAGTGATATATCCTTGGACCAATACAAAGAATTGAAAAAGAATCAAAGTTGAAAGGGTAGTCACAAACGGGTATTTATTCTTAGACCAATACAAAGAAATGAAAAAGAATAAAATCTAAGAAACTATCAAAATATTAAGCGCATGACCATTGACTTGAGTGATATACTAGGTGTGTGGCTCCAACATGCGAGTCATTTGCTTCACTTAAGCTACACCTTTTTGTTACTTCACGCCTGAAGGAAATTAACAGATTCATCGTCTTTGTGTGCATCTTCAGCTTTCTAAACACTGACTAAAATCTATTTTTGTGGGGTGAAAATTTTTGAAAGAGATTACCATAATATGCTTAGACATTGAGTTGCTAGATTCTTTTGGGTTGATAAAAGAGAATCTTTTTCTCATAAAAAAAATGAAAAAGAATCTTCTTTATTATCATTTCTTATATAAGAATCTATTTTATGCGTCAATTTTGGTTATAATTGCATTTTAATCATGAAATTGCCTTGTTTTCCTTGCTGTTTGTCTTCCCCTGCCTGTTTTCTTTTCTCCTTCCTTTTGTTACATGGTCTCCCCTTATTTGGCACTCTACCTTTGAACCAGTTCCTAGGATGGCCCGTTATCTAGCCGTGGATATACCTTGTCTATGGTTGTGTCTCATATAGTAGGGTTATCTATGGTTGCTGCTCGTGCAGGCTTTGGGAGTGGAAGTTTGCTTGGGTATCGGTTGGACATAGATTAGATTCTCTGCAATAAACCTCCTATCATTTTCCTCTTTGAGTGGGTCATTGTGAGTGTTTAGCATTTGAAGGGGGGAACATTGCAGAATTCCTAGCGAGACTCAATACTTGGACTCGATTATTACAAGAAACGAGACCTTTCTTTGATTTAATGAAAAGAAATGAAATGTTAAAGGAGAGAACAACAAAAAATGAAAATGAGATAAAATAGAATGAAATGTTAAAGGAGAAAAAAAAAAAAAATAATGAAAATGAGATAAACTAACTATGGGATATGAAAGCGCCGGATTAATTGAGTTTTCAGTAAATCCTTCTTACAAACAAATACGGGTCTCCAATGCAGATTCAAAGGGCAAGATGTTGCGATAAGATTTTCTTGTAGGAATGTGAAACAAATCTCTTCCAGTAGTTCTGAACTTCCAAAGTTATATCTATTTGGTCCTGTACTCGGAAATGTGAAACAAAGCACACATATTTTAATTCAATTGCAAAATTCACAAGAAGATCCCTTTTAAGAGTAGTTTACCTTTTACGACTAATTCCTCTTTGTTGAGGATCAAGGAAGGTTTTAGATTAACAAAGTAGCTCAAAGTCCTTTAGGAATTTGTTATAGAGTGGAATTGAATTGTCTTCTAGGATCGTCAGGTGAAATAGTAAAAAATTATAGAAAAAGTGCAACAATTGAATGAACTTGGCCTTGAAGAAAGTGGTTCTGCCTAGTTTGAATCTCAAGTTGCGGAGGGTCTAAGACTTGAAAGAGCGACTATGAGAAAGCCTTATTTTTTGAGGTGGGTGGTGAACTTTAATTCAGCAGGTCCTTAGAGGGGTTTCTTTTTTTTTTCTTTCTTAATTCTATTTTCTGTCTTTTGTGTGCTTCACTCCAGAAGATAGACATTTTTTGTGGGAAGGTTGGAGGTGGATGGGAGTTCACACTAGATGAGTTGGGATGTTATGTCTAAGGAGTTTAGAGAGGATGGGCTACGTATGGGGAATCTAGCAAATAGAAATTTAGCTTCCGTAGGCTAGTGGTTACAAAGCTTTTTTTAAAGCCTACTTTTCTTTTGTCTTGTATTGGCAACTTCATTTAATTGTTAGAGGGACATGGATTTCACATTTGTTTTTTTTCGAAGACTTTAATTTGCTTACCTCCTTAATCTCTGACTTGGTAGAAAAAACATTTGCCAACCGGTTACTGCAATTTTTGAAAGCCCAATTTTTTTCTGGTAGAAGGTCATCATGAGCAAATATTGTTGTCAAATTTTAGTGGATCGGGAATGCGATTTCTGAAGACACACACATTAATGAGTCCTCGGAAAGCCATTTTCTTTTGCCTTGTACTGGAAACTTCATTTAATTCTTATAGGGAAATGGGTCTTGCATATATCTTCATGAAGATTTTTGGACTGGATCTAATTCCCTTAGTCTTATTTTCTCACCTCGTTAATAACCCAATTTGTAGAAATGACATTTGTTGATTCCCTCACCTCTACAAGCTCCTCAATAAGTGGTTAAAGAAATATTTTCGATGCTTCTACATTTTGTCCAAGGAAAGAAAAAGAAAGTGATGAAGATGAACCTCACTTCTATTTTGGTGGTTTCAAAATTGCTAGCCCACAACACTTGGAAGGACATTCATAATGCTTTAGAGGTTATTTTCATTCCAAGATCTCTATTAATCCCTTCATGGCAGATAAGACGTCGTTGAAATTGAGTGTTGATTTTTCTGAGTTTTTATGAGTTGGAGTTTGATGACAATTGGAGGCAAATTGAAAATTTTCACTTGAAATTTGAGAAATGGTGCCAAGAAGAACACCTCATCCAAAGCTTATTGAAGGGTATGGTGGCTGATTTTTTTTTTGAATAATTTACCTCGAGCTTATAGGAAACGTTCTTATTTTGAAGCAACTGGTCATTTTGGAGGTTTGATCAATATCTCTTCCTATAACCTTAATTTTATTGATTGTGATGTTAGGAAAAATATTTATGGTTTCATTCCAACTAAAATTGAGGTAATAAGTTCAAGATTTTTTCTCTCTACTTCGGGGATATATATCCTTTAGATCCTCCCAGCACTCATTAAGTGGACTTGTCAATTCTTAACTTTACAAATTCAATGGATTTAAAGTGAACAAATCAAGCTATGATGGATGAAGGCTTTACTTTGCCATCAGACAACTTTATGGTAAAAAATGTTATTCCTTTGCATGATCAGTTGCATAAGTCAGATTTTCTTTTTCTTCAAGATGACCGTTAGGTTATACAACATTTTAGAGATAATGCTTGGTCTTTTCAGCCGTCTATTCATATTCCATCATTTCCAAATCTACACTTCATGTCTTTAAAATGAAAAATAGACGTATCGAAGCGTACTCTCTCCATTATACTCAGAAGCCTGCTCTGGTATCCCTGAAAGTTAAAAGATTATTTTAGACATTTTGGAAGAAGCTTGTGTTCGGCTGCTCAATTCCTCTCCAAAGCTACAACAATCCTTTTCACAACCTACTAAATCTTTTACTCTTTCAATGATCACCCCTCCAGGTTCAAATGTCACTTTAACCTAATTGTCTTGATGGTTGCCTGTTTTGTGAGTTTGTTATTTTTCAGGTTTGTTGAGCCTTGGAGTTTACCAATAAGATAAGAAATAACAGTTGTAGTTGTAGTTGAATCTTGGTTTTTGCCATGGGAATTATTTTTTGGTTGTAGTGGGAGGCAAAACCGTATTTTGTCTCCAAATGGTAGATTATTAGGATTGTGGAGACAAAATTGGTTGCACCAGCAAGGAAGCCCAAGAGCAAAGCAAGACGTTACGACACTTGACGGAAAATCCAGCATGCTTGCACAACATTTTTGATTGTTCAAAGTTTCAGCACACCTATTTAAATAAGGCCCATTAGGTCTTACTGATCTAAGCATACGTATATGTATGTATGTTTTTGTGCGGCTGATGAGTGTGGTAGTGAGTTATTTTGCTAGAGAATGAGTGTTTCTCTTGTGGGATTGAAGGGTTTTGTTCTTTTTTGTTTATCCCAAGCCCAATAGATTTTGTTGGGCTATTGAGGGTTAGTTTGTAGCAGGAGTTTGAGGCTTCTTTGTAATCTTCAGATTCGAGTAGAATTTGCAGTTGTAGAATATTGGATGTAGTCTTGAGTTTGGGGTGAACAAGTGTTTATGATGTCGTCTACTTTTTCTCTATCTGTTCATTTATTATTTTTGTGACTCTAACTTGTGCAAGTGAAGAATATTATAGTATTGTGGTTTTCTCCAATAATAATATTTTTTTTTGTGTTTCATGTATTTTTCTCTCAACATTAAAGATATTAAATGTCATTGGGGAGCCGGGAGGTTTGGAAGGCAAGTCATTGCAGTGGCTTGCTTTGGATGTGTTATGTATTTGAAAGAGTTCTCCTTTAATTTAGCATAGAGTTAATTACATGAGTACAGACCTTTGAGGGGTCTGTTCCTACGGAACACAATACAATGATAACTTCTTTCCTCCAACTCCCATCATAATATACTCTTACCACCCGAACTACTCACTCATTTCTTTTCTTAACGTAACTGACTGACTACTCATGCCTATCTTTTCTTAACATAGCTGACTTTCTAGTCTACGCATACGTTTCCTCTCATCAAAAAGTATCTTTTGTGATATTTTCAACATTGGAGCAATTTCTTGTTATTTTGTTTCTCTGGTATGCTCCTCGTTGGGTGTACTTTCATTTCTCTTCATGAAAATTGGTTTCTTCTTATTTTTTAAAACCTCATCACGATCTCCCAGAAGAAAGTGTTGCTAATACTCGTTGAGGGATTGTCAAACCATGAACTCATAATTTTCTGTTGTGTTAACTTTTTATTTCCTTTTGTAGGTTGTGGCCCAAACAATTCGATCATGCCTGGACGAGCTGCCTGGTTCTACAAGAACACAAATAGGTTTTGCGACTTTTGACAGCACAATACATTTTTATAATATGAAGGTAGAAAATATAGTTTCCTATTGTATATTATACCGTAATTTGATACTTCATGCTAAATGTCCTGTTTCTTTCGCAGTCGACTTTGACTCAGCCTCAAATGATGGTGGTTTCCGATCTGGATGATATATTTGTACCTTTGCCAGATGACCTCCTTGTCAACTTGTCTGAATCCAGAGCTGTGGTGGAATCATTCCTAGATAGCCTGCCGTCCATGTTTCAGGACAATGTGAATGTTGAATCTGCCTTCGGCCCAGCCCTTAAAGCAGCATTTATGGTCATGGTGTGTTATTTACACCTTTTTAATCAGTCACCACAGTCAAATTTATATTCCATTACTTTTAAATGAACATTATTATTTCCTTGTCAATGAATTACAATGTACACATGTTAATAACTTTGTAAGTTCATCTATATTTTTTTAACAAGAATGAAGCTTTCCATTGATAAAATGAAAAGAGACTAATACTCAGAAGATACAAACTCCACGATAATATAAACTCCACAAGGGAGTGGAAGCAAAAAACTAAAAATTCCAAAGATAAAAACAACCCATGGAAATTCATCTAAATTCAAATTGATCTATACTAAGAGTTTGATATGACCATCGGTTTATCTTTTGATTCAACCCTCTTTGCAGAGCCAACTTGGGGGGAAGTTGTTAATTTTCCAAAGCACACTGCCATCTCTTGGTATTGGCCGCTTGAAGTTGCGTGGGGATGATCTTCGTGTTTATGGAACAGACAAAGAACATTTGCTAAGACTGCCGGAGGATCCGTTCTACAAACAAATGGCTGCTGAATTTACCAAGTTCCAAATTGGGGTCAATGTTTATACATTTAGTGACAAGTATACAGATATTGCTTCCTTGGGTATGCCTCAGGTTTATCATCTCCGGAGAATGTGTTTATGGTGACATGATTGAAATTGATTCTTAGGAATTGAGTGGGGCTTGTCCTCCCAAATTCATTTTCCTTCAAAAGAGAAAAAAAAAAAAAAAAAAAGGAAAAAATGGCACGGGTTTACTATGATTGTTGGTGCCTTTTTTTCCCCCCTAATTAATTTACACATGCGACGAACATTTAAAAAATATATTTCTTTTCAGTTCCCAATAACTATTCTTCTTTGGTCTAGCTTTTAAAATCATTGTGGTTTGAGAGGATCTGATTAACTTTTGGAACTTCCTATATAGCCATGATTCTTCTGTGAACAATGAAGAATATTGGTTTACACAATAATCCTGGTGCATTCAAATTTGTTATTTCACTCAGCATCTTGGGGAAACTGAAATTTTGCATCTACTTTTTATGTTTGCTGTCTTTGATTCAGGTTGAAACTAATTGCTTGTTGTCCCTTCTTCATTTCTGTAATTTCAAATTTACTGCTTATGATATAGTTCTGATGGCTATAATGACAATCCTCACATTACCCATCTTTATATTTTTGCACACGACAGATGAAAATATCGCTTGTGGTGCACTGAGGATTTACTTATTATTTCTTTCTTGTGTTTAGGGACTTTGGCAAAATATACTGGAGGTCAGGTGTATTATTATCCTGGCTTCCAATCTTCCATTCATGGGGAAAAGTTGAGACACGAGTTAGCAAGGGACTTGACTAGAGAAACTGCCTGGGAAGCTGTAATGCGTATAAGATGTGGAAAAGGTGATCTTTTCCTTGTTGGTACTCATGGAATGTTTGTCTTCTTCACTCACATTATCAACACCTTTCTTCTCATTATTTTTGTTTGTTCTCCTAGGGATCCGCTTTACATCATTTCATGGAAATTTTATGTTAAGAAGCACCGATTTATTGGCACTTCCGGCTGTAGATTGTGATAAAGCATTTGCAATGCAAATTTCTTATGAGGAGACCTTATTAACTACTCAGACAGTGTACTTTCAAGTTGCCTTGTTGTATCCTTTGAGTGTAAAATGTTCAGGATAACACGCGCATCTATCATCTATCACTTCGTCTAATAGTTAACTGTCCTTAATTACCATCTGCTGTTTATCATATTATATTATGTTGAATATTATCTCCGCTCCGATTCTTGTGAAAATAAATGGAGAATTTCGCAAAGATGAGGATTGAAATAGCCTTCCCCATCCCTACCCCGCTCTGTGGACATCTCTAATGTTACACTTTAGTTTTAAAAAATTCATCTTAAAGATAACAATTTTTCGATCCAAAATAACTAGTTGCACTTTGACCTTGATCTAAATTAGTAATCGCATAAAGTTTGTGAATGCATGAAACTTTGTTTTCACATGAAATTGCTTGTTTCTTTGTAATGTAGGCTTTTCTAACACTTTGTTTTTGATTTTCTCAAGTTCAATGAGGTTTCTGAAGTTGGTTCCTAGGTGAAGGCATGCAGAGTGAAAATTGTCTTATTTTCTCTATTTCAAGGGTTATACCCATAAGTTTGTTCTTTGACAATAAAAAGATATACTGCATCTTGTGGAGAGAGACGTATTAGAGTGCACACAGCAGCAGCACCTGTGGTTACAGATTTGGGAGAGATGTACCGCCAGGCCGATGTTGGTGCCATTGTTTCCTTGTTTAGTAGGCTAGGTATGTGAGCACAAACTTCTATACATGGTCATGTGAGATTTTGATAACCTCAATTATTAAGATTTACCCTACGGTCACTTATTAATCTCTCATTCTAAATTCTTACTGAAACAACTTGCAGCAATTGAGAAAACACTGTCCCATAAGCTGGATGACGCTCGCACTTCAGTGCAACAAAGAATTGTTAAAGCCTTGAGAGAGTATCGTAACCTCTATGCTGTACAGCATCGATTGGGAGGCAGAATGATATATCCAGAGTCTCTCAAGTTCTTGCCTTTATATGGATTAGCATTGTGCAAATCAATACCTCTTCGAGGAGGTTATGCTGATGCTGCGCTTGATGAGCGATGTGCATTAGGCCTCGCAATGATGATTCTTCCTGTTAAAAACCTATTGAAGCTTTTATATCCATCATTAATTCGACTTGATGAGTATCTACTGAAGGTGGTGAATCTTCCCTTTCTATTTTATATTCTTACTTCGTGAATTTTCAGAGTCTATGACATTTATTCTACTTTCATCTGCAGGCATCTCCTGCTCAGACTATTGACCTTAATAGCTTAGAGAAAAGGTTGCCGCTGAGTACTGATAGCTTAGATTCCAGAGGCCTGTACTTATATGACGACGGCTTTCGCTTTATTATATGGTTTGGTAGAGTGCTTTCACCTGATGTGTCTATGAATTTACTTGGGGCAGACTTTGCAGCAGAACTTTCGAAGGTATATAGTTCCTTTATAATTCAAATAAAAGAGTTCATACAGTCTTGTTTGAGTAATAATGTTTTTGGCCTGAATTTAAGTCCTAAATTAAATGATTTTGTAATATTATCATGTTTAAAAAGGAATTTCTTATATGTTCCTATGCAATGTATCCCTTTTTGTTTCTCCTTTTTCAATTAGTTGACTTAATAACATGCTTGTTTGATGTTGGTAAGGGTTTTGTTTTTTGAAATGCAGGTCATCCTTAGGGACCATGATAATGTAATGTCGAGAAAACTATTAGAGATGCTGGAGAAATTTAGAGAAAGTGAGGTTTCATACTATCAGCTATGTAATCTTGTTAGACAAGGTGAACAACCTAGAGAAGGCTTCCTCCTCCTAGCAAATCTTATCGAGGACCAAGTGGGTGGTACCAATGGTTATGTTGATTGGGTTCTACAAATACATCGCCAAGTTCAGCAAAATGCTTAAGACAAGGTGACGAATGTCTTACGCATTGTTCTTTTTAAATCCTTGTTTTTATCCCATGATTGTTTTTATTTTATTTTATTTTATTTTTATCTAGAAACACATGGTGTGGTGAATAGTTGATTTGAAATGAAAAATAATATCAAGTAAGACATGACTGTGCTCCCATTGAAATACTACGTGACTGTGGTGAATAGTTTTTTTTTACTTTTGATTACTTCAATACCTTCTCAAGTCTTTATATCAAATGTTTCAAAATGTTACATCTTTACTCTCGACATTCGAGCTTAGTTTTAGTTTTAGTTTGGTCCCTAGGATCCCAAGTGTTACAATACTCTTGATTTCCAAGCTTATCTGTGAGTTCGGAGTTTAGTTTCCATTTAATCCCTAGGTGGTAAGATTTTACACTTTTTTGACCTTGAGTTTTTACTATTAATGCTTATTTTTGGTATTTTTTTTCGTATTTAAATTTAGCCAGCTCAAGTATAGAGGTAGTGAAAAGTAAATGAGGAAGAAGAAAAGTGGAGTGGGTTGGTCTGAATGTATGCTCTCTGTGATCTTAGAACTCTCCAGGTTGAATACAAGAGATGGTTAAGTTTTTCTACTTCTAATACTGATCACCTCTTTTTCTTTTCTAACCCAAAACGAATTTGAAGAATAGGTGGAACTATTGCCCTTAGCTATTATCTGCTGTCTTTTCAAATTCTTCATCACTACATTCACCTAACTTCTACAAGATGGAGCGCTATCATCCACTGTAATCTCTGCAAGCATCAAACAACCGGTTAACATAAGAATGATTTCCGTCTTACAACAAAAGAAATGGAGTTAAACCCCCAACGAAAAACGTATATTGGATGGCTCTATCAAAGTTAGCTGAATTGATGAAGCAATTAGACGAGTTGTTGGCTACAGGGTTCATCTGTCCCACGAAGGCACCTTATGTCCCCCGGTATTATTTCAGAAGAAGAAAGACAGGACACAAGTCTATGCATTGACTATAGAGCTTTAAACAAGGTGACAGTATGTACCAAGTATCTCTTGCTGATAATATATGATTTGTTTGACCAACTCTATGGGGGTTAAATACTTCACGAAACTGGATTTATGATCAAGATACTACCAAGTGTGCGTGGTCGAAGGAGATGAACTTAAGAAAACTTGTGTAACGAGATATGGGGCTTTTAAACTTATGGTAATGGATTTTGGCTTGACGAATGCCCCACTTACATTATGTACCTTGAAGAACCAGGTTTTTCATGAATACCTGGACCAATTCATCGTTGTGTACAATGTCACGTTGGAGGAACATAAACAAACTTAGACTGAACATATTTGATTTTGAAGTTGGAAAGATCAAAGACTTGTTGGAAAGTATGAAGTGCCCGTCAAAATTCTTATGAAGGTTGTGTCTACCTCTTATAGGGTGACATCACCCACATGGATGAAAATTCATCCAGTAATCTACTTGAGTAACTTAAAACCCTATCACCCCAATCCTGACGATGATAGTGACAATTCCATTGTTAGACTTGGGACTCGATTTGCAGCAAAATGACATCAAGGAGGCTGAAGAGATTCTTGCCCATAGAATAAAAAAAAAGTAATAAGACTTGTAGGGAGAGTTCGAGAATTCCTTATTAAATGGAAGAATCTCCCTACAGAAGAGACAAGTTTGGAGCACGCAGAAGACTTGGTTAGTCACCATCCATATCATCGAGTTCGAGCGTAGTCAGTTGACAAGGACGTCAACCAATTAGATGGAGGATGTCATTGTCATGCTTCTCTAGGACGTATAAATTTGTTTGGCTGCATGCCCATGCCACACCAAATTCCTCGGGTTCGAGCGTAGTTAGTTGACAAGAACGTCAACCAATTAGATGGAGGATGTTATGGTCATGCTTCTCTAGAACGTGTTGTGTTTGACTGCATGCCTATGCCATACCAAATCCTTTTATCTGGCTTCCATGTTGTATTATTTTATTATTATAATTTCTTGTTGACATGGGAGACTAAGTCGTCATCAAATCTCCTACTAAGTGTTGTAATTTCTCTTCCCCACATATTTTCAATTCAATTGACATCTATAAGACTATCTTTCAAATTGTTTTCAATAAGTTCCTCAGCCACGTTTTTAAAACATTTTCTCTCAAACGTGGCTCGAGGCTCAACCATAGGCCAAGATTGTCTGTGAAATTTGATTTTTACACTGCTGACATATTCACTAGGTTAGAACTAGTGTTATACAATCGCTATCCTGGTACCAAAAGAGTGCGTGGGCACCATGGAAAGCTTTGTGATTCATCATGACATTACTAGTTCTTAGGATCTAGCCTAGGCACTCGTATGCCCTCCGGACCCGATGAAAAAAATGGGATCACTTACCTTGAGAAATCTAGTGAAATTGAGTTTCCCCCTTTAATATCCTTAAAATTCCACAAGAGTTAGACCTACTTTTGCTACCGGAGGTAGGAATTTGAAAGGCCTAGGGTTCCATTGATGTGGAGCCATGTGTCACAAACACATTAGTAGTGGGACAGTAATTGTACGACACTCGTTCTAACTCAGCGAACAAGTTAGTCAGGTAAAAATCTAACCTTGCAAACAATCTTGACATATTGTCGAGCCTCAAGTCATGCTTTAAAAGAAAATGTTTTATAAAACGTGAGCGAGGAGAGTAGCTGAAAAAAGTTTGAAAGATAGCATTGTAGATGTCAATTGCTTTGAAAACATGTGGATAAGAGAGATTACAACACATGGTCGGGGGAGGTTTGATGACTACTTAATCTCTCTCTATACTACATTTTGAGACATTTCATATCTGATAGAAGTAGATATGATTTTGCTGAAATGTCATACACAAATTATAATAATAAAATAATACAACATGAAAGCAAGATAAAAGGGTTTGGCATGACATGGACATGCGACCATAGGCAACACACTCTGGACAAGCATGGCTGTGACATCCTCCCTCACTTAATTGGTTGACATCTCTGTCAATCGACTATGCTAGAACTTCATGATGTGGATGCTGATTGATTCCAGATCTTCTGCGTGCTTCCAACTTATCTCTTTTGTAATGTGATTCTTTCATTTGACAAGAAATTATTGAACTCACCATTCAGGTCTTCCTACTTTTGTTACTCTATCGACTAGAATCTCTGCGACCTCCTTAATGTCTTTTTGCTTCAGGGTGATCCCAACTCATGATGAAATTGTGACTCATGGTCTTGATCAAGGTGATAGGGTTTTAAGTTATTCACATAGATTACTAGATGAATTTTCATCCAGGTGGGTAATACCACACTATAGAAGGTAGATCGAACCTTCGACGAACTCTTCATTATTCCTAACAAGTCTTTGATCTTTCCGGCTTGAAATTGAATCTGTTTTGGTATGAGTTCTTGGTCTCCAGCTCGAAACTCGAGAGGACAACGCTTCTTATCCACCCACTTCTTCATGTGCGTGGAGCCTTTCCCTAAATAAGCTCAAACTATATATGTTGCTTATTTCCATTCGTTCGTGAAATTTTGGGTTTGTGGATTCTTCCCGACATATGGATGGTCCATAATGTGGGGTTGAAGAGACTTTTTCCCTTGGATAAACTTGGTTGGCAATAAAAAAGCAAAATTGGGCTACATCTCATAGCTGTACCCAATTCTTTTGAGGAGCGTCAACAAAGTGGCACAAGTATTCCTCAAGCAAACATTAGATCAAGCAAACATTAGATCTCTCTATTTGTCCATCGGTTTAGGGGTAGTAGCTTGTAGGGATATTCAGGTTGTCTCTAAGAATTCAACTAACTCTTTCCAGAACGTTTTGATGAATCAGCTATCTCAGTCACTGACGATATTTGTTGGGATGCCCCCAATTTCTCAATATGTATAAAGAACAGCTAAGCTGTCAACTCAACCTAACATTGTTTGGGTGTGGGTACAAAAGTTGCATGCTTTGAAAACCGATTTATGATGACCAAGATTGCTTCGTGTTCTCCTACCTTCAGAAGGTGTGTGATAAAATCCAGTAATGCACTTTCCGTCTCGTTGGCATGGGTAGGATTCGGGGTGCCCCAACACCTTGGCCTTCTCAACTCCAAATTCGGAAGCCCCATATCTTGTCACGTAGGTTGTCTTGGGTTCATCGCTCTCAGTAATACACACTTGATAGTATCCCAATCGTCAGTCCAGCTTCGTAAATTATTTGGCCCCCACAAAGCTGGTCAAATCGGATATAGTTGGCAGGAGTACTTGTTATGTACTGTATCTCATATTTCTCTTTTGGAATAACACAGGGGCCCATATGATGCCTTCGCAGGATGGATGAACCATGTGGCCAACAACTTGTCTAATTAGCCATATTACATCGACATAGGATGGATGAACCATGGGTAAAGTCTTAGCAAGCTATTTAGCCGCATAATTTTGCATCGTCTGCAAGATGCATTGTGGGGTAATTTTAAGTTCTTCTTAATAGGTTCCCATAGCTTTGAAGTATTATTTGACGTCAAAGATGAAATTTTCAAGCTCCTTTGCATCCCTGTTCTTTTTTAATGCTTTGAGTTTTGGGATCTTCAAATTGTTGAGCCCGACATGAGTTTGACCCGGGGTTTGATTTTCCACAACCCGTGTGGCCAGGTTTAATCAGGTATTTAGTTTAACCATCTCTATCATTGCCCTAAAATCTTCTGTTAACTCATTGAAAGGTTTTAACATGGCCTTATGTGAACTATCTAGCTTTTTGACATGCTCTTCCGTATGTGCAACTGAGGTCTTGGAGCTACCTCCGCGTTCTGAACTACTCGGTCATGTAACTCTCTCTTCTAGAGAGTTAACCCTAAATATTAATAATTTGATTGGCAGCCCATCTAGGCAAATGCGCATAGCGTCAATTCCACCATTTTTTTCATCCAGTTTTGTTACTCGGTCTTCTAGGAAGCAAACAGTATAGGGAATTTCTTTGAAGAGCATCATTTCATATTCCATATCAGTAAGTTAGATTAACTTGTGAGCCAACGGCTTTGTCGTTGGCATCGTTTTGGTCTCAATGGGGCAAGGAGATAACTTAAATTTGATACTAGTTACAATCTGGCATCGTTTTGGTCTCAACGGGGCAAGGAGATAACTTAAATTTGATACTAGTTACAATCTGGCATCGTTTTGGTCTCAACGGGGCAAGGAGATAACTTAAATTTGATACTAGTTACAATCTTACTTTTTTGGCAGTGGGACAATGAATGTTCAACACTTGTTCTAACTCAGGGAACCAGTCTGGACAATCTTGAATTTGTGGTTTTTGGTTTCATTTGTACCTTAGTGGCTGCTGATACTTTGCCATGACCTTGGTCAATTCTGTGTTGAATATAGATTAAAGTTTATCGATCTTTGTTTTCTGTTTTTAATGCAGAGTTCTTCAACTTATGATTTGGCATAAGAAGCGCGTTGTGTCGGAAACAATGCAAAATTATACTCCTGGGACTCGGCTTCAACAACTGGCTTGCTCACTCGCTCTGGGAAGCCACGGGGATTCAGCTGCTTCATAAACTTGTTACCAGATACATAGATTTTGGTTTCTTCATAAATTTGTTAACAATAATTTAATTTTCCTGTCACCATTCATTATATGTAATAGGGATATCACCACCAGATTTTATTTTACTTTATTTCTCTTAATATATTATCTCCTAGATTTGGTTTATTTGGATTTTGTTTGGTTGTTATATACAGCTTTAGTTTGTTTGAAGTGTAACTTTACTACAGGGAGTTTGCTCACTACCACCTAATCGTCACATGCTTTTATATTTTACAACATTATCAGGTCATTATTAGGTATTGTCGTTGCGATGGGTGTGTTTTAGCAGCTACAATTTCAATTTTGTTGAATTCAATTCAATCAAATTGGTTCGAAGATCGATGGGTGTGTTTTAGCAGCTACAATTTCAATTTTGTTGAATTCAATTCAATCAAATTGGTTCGAAGATTGAAGTATATGGAATATGTCACAATCGCCCTTTTCAAGCATGACTATGACACAATGATATCTTAATTAAATCTTAATTAATATGATTTATATATATTTTTAATAATAAAGAAATTGATTTGTGAATTGCATTGCTGGGCTCAGCTTTTGACTGTCACCAGCACATTATACACAATAAACTAAGAACCCCTCTTCCCTCTCCCTCTCCCTCTCCCTCCCAACACAAATCCCAAAACGGAAAAAACTCATTTTTGCTCGCATATCTCACCCTTCCATTTTCACCCTCCAACCCCTACCCCCTCTGTTCTCTCCTTCATGTCTCCTAATTTTGGATTCCATCGGTAATGCCTTTCTTCTTCTGATTCCCTTTCTTTTTCTTTTTCTTCCATTTCGAAATTTCTCTGGTGTTCTTCTTCCGATGCGATGGGTGTGGGTGTTCTTCATCTGGATCCTGCTGTTCTTAGGGGTAGGATCATTTCGTGGATCACCCACTTCTTGTTGGTTTTCTTTTTCCTATGCGTTTCTCTTCTTTTGTAGTCCCATGATTTTGGCAGGTTCCGACGCAATTTGTGGGTCAATTATCTAATGTTTTATGTTGTATTTGCTTTTTTTTGACCTCGACTCTTAGGTTACGAGTACTATTTCTCTAAATATTCTGGTTCTTCCTACCACCACTGTATATGTTGACCTATGCTTATTTTTGAACTCTGATCACATTTTGTTTCTTGTGATGATTGCTTGAGAATGTTCTTTTACCGGTTTGAGATGTTTTCGATGAAAAATTGTTTGAGCCGAAGCTATGTAGAAGCGAGTGAATAATAGATATGAACGAACACCTTTTGGGTCATTGGTTTCATTTTCTGCAAAACGGTCAATGGATATAAAATCAGCAACAGTCTTATGATTCCTATGGCCTTTTTTGTGGAATCATGTGCCCGAGTTAACATATGGTTTTTCTTCTGAGTCCTAGGAGCTAAGAACTTCCTGGAGAATGCAATGGGGTGAATTAAGTCAAAATCATAGTCGAGTGAGAATTATTCTTCCAAGCCAGGGTTAAATAGTTGATGCAGATCATATTAATATTTCACGGAAATTATGAAGGGATTGAGTAATGTGGTAGACGTTGTGGAATGAAGATATACGATTATCTTATTTTGTTTGATATGAACAGGTGAATGGTTTGTTTTATAAGGATCATTCACTGAAGAAAGGTCGTGACAATTTCAAGAAATGGGCTCAATGGGTGTTGTTTCTACTTCAAGTTTGAGAGAACCAGCTGGTCATAACAACGTTGGTGTGGATAGGTTACCTGAGGAGTTGAATGACATGAAAATTAGAGACGACAAGGTACACATGCATCTTTTGATGCCCTTATATTCCATTTGTAATATCCTTATCATTGATATGAATTAGCTTTGTTCTTCTTTCTTGTCCTTTTCTATGAGTTCTCATGAGATGAAACAATTGGTTAGGAAGTGGAAGCAACAATTGTAGATGGCAATGGGACAGAGACAGGCCATATTATTGTGACGACAATTGGTGGTAGAAATGGCTACCCAAAGCAGGCATGAAATGCATAATCTTAAATTAGTCCTTTTCTCACATTCATTTTATAAGCATGAGTGTACTTGTCCAAGTGGGTTGTCGAACATTCGCTAGTGTGAAATTTCTCATAGATTTATTTCTTGTTTGCTATGCCCCTAATGGTATTTGGTATTAATATGCAGACAATCAGCTATATGGCAGAGCGTGCTGTTGGGCATGGATCATTTGGAGTCGTGTTTCAAGTAATGTTTTAAAAAAAATTTCCAACTGATGGCAGCTTTCTTTTATCCCTTAAAAAGTTACATTTTCAGTTTATTTTTTTTCAGATATTGGGGTTGTGTACTTTGTTTGTGCCTTTCTCATTTTCCATATCTTGTTTAGGCAAAGTGTTTAGAGACTGGGGAAACTGTGGCTATAAAGAAGGTTCTCCAAGATAAAAGATACAAGAACCGGGAACTTCAAACTATGCGACTTCTTGACCATCCAAATGTTGTTGCATTAAAGCATTGTTTCTTCTCAACCACCGAAAAGGATGAACTGTATCTCAACCTTGTTCTTGAGTATGTCCCAGAAACAGTTCATAGGGTGATAAAGCACTACAACAAGTTGAACCAAAGGATGCCAGTGATCTATGTAAAACTTTACATGTACCAGGTATAGTTCTTCTGAATATCTTTTCAAGAAACGTAACAACATCAGCCAGTTGGTTAATGATACTTTAGGACTACTTCAGGCGGATAAAGATGGTGTTACTCATTAGCAATGTGCAGTGGTTAAATTTGGTTTGGTTTTTTTACCAAATCATTACAATTGATTTGGAGTTGACTCCTTGGACCAAACCAATTGGTTAGTTTGGTTTGGTTTGGTTTTCCGTGTATTTGTAATTTTCAATCAATCATTCTTAGATGCCTTCTATTTTATTTTGACAAATGCAATATACAGAAAGTCTTAGTTAAAAGTACAAATCAATTTAGTTAACCAATCTTTCTGAAAATATTGTAATTTTAACCAATAATTATTTGCATTAATAAGTATTTAAACACTTAAATTTATAGATTTTTTATTTCGCTTTGATGCAAGTATTTAAACACTTAGATTTGTAGTTCTTCCATTCTATTTGGTTTGGTTTGGGCTATTGCGTTCTTTTGGTTTTTGTGCTTCTGTTACTCGGTACTCATTATAGTTTTTCTTATGTCTCTTTTTTTTTTTTTTCTATTAAAGTTATTCAGTTTTCCGTTGTTTCAGAAAGTCATAGTGGATGATTCTATAGTTTTATATATATCTCTCTAAATGGTATTCTCGCAGATCTTTAGAGCATTGTCATATATCCATCGTTGTATTGGGGTGTGCCACCGGGATATTAAACCTCAAAATCTTTTGGTAAGCTGAAAAAAAACAAGAATTCTGGTCCTCATTAGTTTCTCCTGATATCTACATGTAATTTGTTTCTTCGTTCTATCAATTTATGCAGGTGAACCCGCATACTCACCAGGTTAAACTATGTGATTTTGGGAGTGCAAAAGTCTTGGTGTGTGATTTCTTCTTTTTCTTGAAATAAAAGATCAGTTGGCCGATTGTTGTCTGACTGACCAGAGACAACTGTATTCTGTGTTATACAGGTAAAAGGGGAACCAAATATATCCTACATCTGTTCAAGATACTACAGAGCTCCTGAGCTTATTTTTGGAGCAACAGAGTATACTACCGCAATTGATATATGGTCTGCAGGTTGTGTTCTTGCTGAGCTATTGCTTGGTCAGGTAGTTGGTTGTGTGCGTTTGATATTTTGAATGTTTCTTCGTATGAGATTTTATGGAACTAAAGATTTTTTATTTTATTTTCATTTATTTTGTATCAGCCTCTTTTTCCTGGAGAGAGTGGAGTTGATCAGCTTGTTGAAATCATTAAGGTAGTTTTGACATTTCAAGTTTCTGAGTAAATATTGCAACTCATGCTCCTAACACTAGTCAATCATATTCAGTTTTAAGCTGTCTTTTCAATATGATTTAGTGTAGAAAATCCGGAGACTCGTCAAGATTTTCATGACTTATTATTATAAAGTAAAATCAATCTTTTAGAATTTTATGAACCTCAACCTTCTCATCACATTTTTCTTTTCTTTCTTAAAAGTAAAAAAGTAAATATACTGTCTTGCGTTTTTAACGTTATATGTTTAACTCTTGAGCCATTGATTTGTATTGGCTGGTTATATCTTGGGTTTTTTCTTGGATGACACAAAACTGCTCTTTTAATATTGTGACTTGTGAGCCTGAGGATGTTTACCATTTTCCTCCTGCAGTTCTTACTTCATTCTTAAGTTTGTTTTAAGCTTTTTTGTACTTTTTTGTATGTGATAGAACTGGTTTTTGTAGGTTTTGGGCACTCCTACCAGGGAAGAAATTAAATGCATGAATCCCAACTATACGGAGTATAAATTCCCTCAAATTAAAGCTCATCCATGGCACAAGGTAATTGTATTTGAAAATGTTGTATACTACTCTTTCTGAACTATGCATTTAGGCATTAATTTATCATGCAGATATTTCACAAACGAATGCCACCGGAAGCTGTTGATCTCGTGTCAAGACTATTGCAATACTCTCCTAATCTAAGGTGCACAGCGGTAGGTATCTTATTTCATTTTTTATGGGCTGTTCAGATGAAATGAAAGTTAGATACACTGGTTCTGGTATTATCTTGATCCTAATGACAGTGTGTTTTTTCTCCTCGCCATCTTCTATCATCTTTAACTATTTTTTAACTATTTTTTATCATATATTGATGGTTCCTAACCTTGGCCTGTTTAAGAAGTTTACTTGATCATTTGTGGGTTATCAGTTACTAGCTTACCTTTGTTGTATTTGTAAATGCTATATCGTTGATTGGAGAAGACACTCTTCTGTAACATGGTTCCTTGTATCAGTTTTAGGTTTGGTTGTGGATGTTGGTTGATCAAATATAAGAAGGAATGGGTGGCTATAAAAGGATCTTTACTTGGGTGGTTGTCTTGTCGAACTATGTAAATACTGCCACCTAAAAAGGACCTCTGAAATTCAATCCGACATCATCGATCTTTTGACTTTTAGCCCTATGGGATAGCATAGTTGAAACTATTGTCGTCTTTATGTGCAAGATACTACCTGCTCTCATATTCTTATATATCTGCATTTGGT